GCTTGTATACAATCGTGAACGAAATCTCTAAATTACCGCAGATATTCTGACTACCTTCATCAAAATCTCCAACAGCATATCGCCCTAGGTTAAAAATAATTTATGCCTCTCTCCAACCACGATCTAGGGATCAAATAAGATCGTCTTTTATTAATTTCCTCAGATGTCTTTTGCAAAAAACCATGAGATCACGCCAAATTCGGAAAACAAACCATGCTTTTCTCTACGGATTCATTCAGGCTTAAGTGATCATTTTTGTTTCATTCATATTCCATTTTCTCCCTTGCTATACTCCAGATCAGGTGTGATTGAGCAATTCCGATTGTTAGGACAAGGTCCCGCATGTTTTAGACTCATAAACAACCCGGATCAGAACAAAACTGCAGATCTTATTTTATTGGATGCCCAACAGTTAGACTATCCAAACACTACCGGATCATGTATTAAAACTGGAAACAACTGTGTGTGTGTGTGTGCGTTTTTCGCAAGACATTTATGGATATATTTGTATACTGACGTAAGTCGTCCTCGCCGTTGTCGTGACGTAAGAAACTTTTATTACCAAAATTCGCCACTCACAGGTGGATTTGCAGGTGAGAGGAAGAAAGTTCTCCTCGGGTGATCTTCACCCTTTTGTTCACGAGGACGGACATAAACCGGTGCAGATGAAATGACCAGACAAATAATCAGAATCGAAAGAACATGAAATGAGGTGTTCCGTTAAGTGAGGATCGCGATGGGTGGCAGCAGGATTAGGAGACCACGTGCAGCTTGTCCGTACCCCCTGTTTCTACACTCTCTAGATATTCCATATCCTATATGAAGACGTTACGATGTAATAAATAATTCTAGACATTTATATATACCGGAAATACTGGACTCATACAGCCAGACATTTGCTAAGCACAGTGAGGCGTGGACTTGGCCGGCTGCTACATTCCGTATTCTGTATTCCTTGCATAAGCCGTATATCAGAAGTTGGTGTTCTAATGCTTCGGAGTCCAAATTAACTGCGAGCAGTTTATGAAAACATTTGCCGAAAAGGAGGTTGAAAGTTTAGGATTTTATGCACTAATTGGGGAGTTTTCACATAGAATTTTCGTGTACTCTGTGCTCTCGGGAGAGGATCTGTTCCTCCATTGATCTGTGTTCACCACCCTGGATGCACAGATTCTTCTCGGACCACATCCGACGATCATCAGTTTCGCATCGGCCGTCAACTTGAGAATTCTCTCAAGGTAGTCATTTTTTATATCTAAGTGATACCGTAGCCTTTGTCGTAGATAAGCCTAGCAAGATAACACGTTTTTCTGATGAAATTCCACCTTTTATGGATGGATGGAAGCCGTTCACAAGTGGGTTTACAATATGCTAGAAATGGCATGCTTCACTGAAACATGGAATAAAGCTAACTCTTATTGATAGCATGTAAATGCTTGGAAATTGCAATCTGAATGAAATACATTGTACAGCTGACTCACAGGAGATCATCTTTATCCACGCAATTTTTACAAATCTCAAAGGAAATCCGAAGCTTCGATCTTCATACTAGTAGTTATTGACCAGACGGTTCGGTCCTAAGTGAATGGTCAGCGATGCAGATAAGTCGCGTAGCGTCGTTGTTCCTTAAATTACGTACTGCGTGTTTCATGCTCGCCTAATGAATAGCTCCTCGATTGACAACATCTCGGACACTCGGAGATTCGGTCTTCGTGTGGCTTGTTCTCCTTCCAGAGCTACTGGTGACTTGTTGATAGTAGTGGAACATTTGGAAATTTCAAGTGAATATTTTGTTATGTAAAGGAAGCTCACCTATGCTGGAAATTTCAAAGGACGTGACTGAACAGTTTATGCTTCGACTACAGCCTGAATGACCACGGGCTTGACTTTTGGAATTCATGAGGCCTACAATGCTAGTACTCCCAAAAAGGGATCAAACAACTACGCGGCACTTTGTAAGTACTACTTA